CTCCACTTCTCACTCTATTCATTCAGTCATGCCAGAGTTCAGTGTTGGTTATATCCATGGGCTCATTTCAGCAAACATTTACTCCCAGGAGTCACCTTACTCCTGAACATAGTCCTGCGGAAGACAAAAGTACACTGTCTTCATTGTAACTGCCACCCAGGGAGCAATCATACACCGCAGAGTAACTATCTACATGACTGGACCAAACAAACGTAGAACAAAATTAAGTGAGAAATAACAAAGACTATGTTGTAAAGAGCAACAAAGAGTCCTGTGGCACCTTACAGACTAACAGATGTATTGGAGCATAAGCTTTCATGGGTGAATACCCACTTCTTCAGACGAAAGCCCCATGAAAGCTTATGCTCCAATACATCTGTTAGTCTGTAAGGTGCCACAGGACTTTTTGTTGCTTTTTACAGATCCAGATTAACAGGGCTACCCTTCTGATATGTTGTAAAAAACACCCCTAAGGTGACAGAGGTTAAGGTTATACGTGCAATCTTAATTATGTCTTTTCTTGACTTTTGAATGTGAAGCTTACAGTTTGAGTCCTCTCAGAGTAGTTTTTTGGATGAAGTAATAGCTGTACATAACCATAGCACTTTTACGGTAGTTATGCTTTCAAAAGGTCTTGCCAAACAATAACAACTGGAAGGGATTCTGTTCCTGTAAACACTGGTTTGTGGCATTGCTATATAAATCAATCAGGATAATCAGGTTGATTAGAGAAAGAACAACTTTTTACAGTTATTTTCATAATCAGAAATGATGGAAAAAGATCTACCAAAAATATATTCCAGTTCTGCAGCGGGGCGGGGAGTTTGCTTAAGTGCGGGAGTATATTTGGTTCGATTGTTTTGTTTTTGTAAGATACTACTGGCAGCACTTAACAAGTTTCTTCCATTTTGAAAGAGACTACTGGCTCAAGTGGTACTCCCCATTCTCTCTCAAACCAGCAGAAACTTTTTAAGTATGATCACACTCAAGTTTTTAGTAAAGATGGATTCTGCCTTTAAGCATTCCAACTAGAAATAAATAAATGTACCTTTAGCAGTAAAGTACGCCTTTCAGTACTGTGATTGAAAACACTTTCCATCCTAACACATACCACTGGTTCCATATAAATATATATCCCTGATTTGAAAAATAATTTTAAAGCTTTCAAATGCTAGCATACAGAGCCAGATCATCTCCCACCTAAACCTATGGAGGAGGGCTCAGGGAAGGGAAATCTTTCATCTATCAGGAAAAAGCATAATGAAATCCAATGGAGGCTTAACCTAGACAAATTCACATTTTTAACAGGGAGGATAATTAATGATGGGAGCTACTTACTTACCAACGGATGTGGTAGTTTATCCATCATTTATAGTCTAAGTCAAAACTGGATAACTTTCTAAAAGCTCAAACAGAAATTACTGAAGCTATGGCTACACTACAGAGCCTACAGCGGCACAGCTATAGCACTGCTAATGCAGACACTCTGATGGGAGAGAGCTCTCCCAGCCACTTACTTACTCCAGTCCCCGCAAGCAGCAGTAGTTATGTTGGTGGGAGAAATTCTTCCACCGACACTTGGGTGCTTAGGTTGGCGTAACTTACGCTGCTCAGGGGGGTGGCTTATTCACACCCCTGAGCAACGTAAGTTACACTGTCGTAACTGGAAGTATATCCATAGCCTATGTTAGTTCTTTGGCCTGAGTTATGCAAGAGGTCAGACTACATGATCATAACAGTCCCTCCTGGCCTTAAAATCTATTACTCTATGAATTATTCCATTAGATCTCAGATCTTGCTTCCAAATTTGGCAGATCCTGAAGGATGTGCACAGGTGTCAGGTGATTCACACTTGTGCCTCTGATCCCCTTCATCCTTGCTGATGGCTGCCTTCATGGTGCCCAGAGGGACAGTTCTGTATCATCTTTTCTGAAGAAGCGCTTTAGAGCTTGAGGGGCTGACTATGTCCCCCTAGTGCTCCCTCCCTTGGCGTAGACCCCAAACTCATGGACCTGTGCAAGATGCAGAGGAGACTGGTAGGGGGGTGCTGCAGAAGTGGCTGAGCCCCAGTTCTGATGGGACAGGGAGAGCCAATATTAGGGAAGCAATTTAGATTTGCTACTGCTGTCAGTTATGGTACAACAAGGGGTTTTAATTTTCTATTTAGAAGAAAAGTATGACAACTGAAAAGTAATTGCTTACAGCATTTTGCAAATGTTTGATATTTGCTATGCAATACAGGAATTGCTGAAACAGCTCACTGCAGGTAACATATTGTAGTCAAATTACAAATATAATTTCCACACCACTGATAGAGATTATCTTGCCTCTTTGACTTGAAATACAAAGAGATGCTAGGAAAAATGAAAGTGTCCGAAACTGCTTGATTTATTGCTAGTAAGGGCTTACAAGGCTTTCACTGCTTCCTGAATGTAGATGAGTGGTATGTTGTTTACCCTTTCCAACCCACCCATTCTAAAGAAATTCATGATTTCTTCTAACCACTAGCTTCATGTAAAGGCTCTTTTACTCTGACCCTGTTAACGTCCACTTCTGATGTTTTCCTTTCTCACTAAAATCAAGCTTTGATCCTAGTATGCACAATAAGTATTGATCCCAGGAAGAAAGTCTCCACCAGTGAGCCAATGTCTACCCTTCAATCTAATGTTCATTGTGCTGTCACACCAATCCAGGTTCTGATTTAATGGCTATTAAGAGAGATGCATCTAAGAGGAGAGATCAGTAATGCTCAGCTATAAAGACAGATTCACGTGGGTGATCATACAAGTATTCTTTCTTGGCAAGTCAGGAGAAGGTAGAAATGGAAAGAGGTATTTTCCTTATTGATTAATGGAAGCAAGTAAGAAAGAAAAATAGATTAGCTTGCAAAATAGGATCTACCATATTCTCTTGCTAAATGCCCAATTGCCCAAGCCATAAGTCCCATTGACACAATAGACATTAATTCTTTTGAAGATTCTGTGCAAAGGTGCAACAGTGAGCCCACATAACAAATCAGAATTCTTTTGCACATTTTGTGGGAAACAAATTCAGTACATACACAACAGTGAATTTCCCCCTCAAAATACTTGCCAAATCTCTACTTTCCCAATGTGAAATAATGGCCAGCTCTAAGTTGTAGAAGCTAAAAGTTTTTTTCACTAATTATTTTTAAATTATGAAGCAAACTGTTCTGTTTTGTTTTGGGGTTTGTTTGTTTTTGGCTGACTCCTTTGTGTGATATCTTTATAGCGGAAAACTCAGCATACCAGGCTGGTCAAACTTACACAAGGGACTTGTCCTGCATACAGTGGTCCCAACATCAGGGAATACAATAGTGAGCGTTACATGACCTTTGCACCCTGCCCTGTGTGCAGTTCAGCTTGACTCAGGATCTGGCCCACTCTCTCTACTGACAAGGAACCAGTTTCCTGGCAACAGTAATCACATGCAGTCACAGAACCAGCTCCTCTTATTATCTGTTTTTATTAATGGACATACTAGTACATTACTTTAGGGAACATTTTCAGCATATAATGAGACACTTATAATGAAAATGTGGGCATTAGGGTTTTCATATTATTGAAAGCCAATAGACGGAACTCTTATCAACGGAAGTATCATATCTGACGGGCTCATAATGAGATGAAATGTATTATTAATCCCATGGCATGGACTGAATGCTGAGGAGTCTTTAGAACAACCATTCACTGACCGTTCAGAATTATTGGCAGTTCAGTATATTGCTGCTTATAAATGTTCCCACAGTTTGGGCACTATAGTCCCAGTTCATCAGAACACTTAAGCATGTGCTTAACTAATGAATTCAATGTGACTTAAGCACATGCTTAATTGCTTTGCTGAACGGAGGCTTCTAGCTAGTGATACATTTACAGAGAAAACACTAGGAGGTCTTTTCCCATATGTACCTGTACTTAACTGTCACTAATGTTATCTGTGCATTTGGAAGGAAGAAATTGGGTCCAATTCTGCATGCTTGGCTCCAGTGGGATTGGAAGGTCTATGGCAACTCCCTGGAAATGCTAAGAACCTTGCAAGCTTGGACCATTAGATGTACTGCAAAGTATTCAGAAAAATCTATCATTCAGATCTAGTTTGTGTTGTGGCGAGAGAGAGACAGAGAGGACAGCTAATGCTATAATCATCGACTGAGCCTCATAAACTGTGAGCAAAAAATAAAAAAAATGACAAAGACATGCACCTTGGAAACGACATGATCTATTACAGGAATAAAATGCTAAATAGTTTCTTGTCCCGAGCACAGTCAGTTCTTTTAAAAGTACATAGTGAGATCATCTCTACACTTAAACAAATTGAATGGGATTAAACCTCGATGGTCCTTTAAGTAAGAAGTTAGTTTTTATCCCAGCACAGCAGATGGGAATTTATTTTTGCCAGAGGCTGCGGTTGCTCATGATTTACTGGGTGTAGGCAGTGTTCTTCCATTCATCCCAGGACTGTTGATACTTTCGTGGTCTCCTTTGCTGCTGTGGATTATTACCATGCATTGACGACTTGATCCTGAAAGGTGCTGAGCACTCTTAACTCCAACTGAAGGCAAAGGCATTCAGACCCTCACAGGGCTAGTGCGCTAGCTGTTATACAGTCATGAAATCACAATGCTTGTCATAGGAAAAAAACTAATTTATCTTTGCAACATGTCAATATGAAAACCAGGAGCTGCCAAAATAATGTCCATATTCACGTCCCACAAAGTCCCATATTGGATTTTTTTTATTAACACTGGTGTAGTTATATTTCCTAACAGAAGCTGAATAGAAAACACAAGAAATTCAGAGTCTTTATTTAAAAAAGATTTTTTTTAAACTATACCTGTTGAGCAGTCAGAACCTGTCCACTTAGGCTCACAGCTACAGACGCCGGTATCCACAAGGAACGTCCCATGGCCTGAGCATTGCTCTTGACATACAGGAAGAGATGTCTCACAGTTTACTCCTCCCCAGCCTGCAGAGCAGTGACATTCCCCTTGAACACAGACACCATGGCCAGAGCACATAGGATCTAAACAATCCTCTGGAGAGAAATAAATAAAATATTTAGTGAACACCACTGACACTTTTACATTGATTTTCTAATATACAACATAAATGGTTGTTTTAAATAGGCAATAAAATGGCTCTTGTGCAAACATTTTGTTCAAGCAGAGCAATATTAACAGATACCGAGGAAACAAAACTATACTAAAGTGCTATAAAGGGCCAAATCCTGGAACTTTTACTCACATGAGTTTAAACTCCTCACTTTGGTAGTCTTTACTCAGGCTCATTAGATTTGAATAGGAAATTAAGAAGTTAAGGTTACCACTTCACCTTTATTTAACTCAATTAATTACATTTATAGTTTAAACGACTCTGTGTATGTTACACAAGATGATGAACAACAGTGAATCTTTTATGATACTCGGGCACATCAGTGTGTGCATATAACCAAGTGACAGCCTTTGTCCACATTTCCTTTAAGTCACAGCCAGAAATATGCATAGACATTTTTTTCGCTCTCTAAAATGAGAAGCCAATGCAATCTTCATGCAACGATAGAGACCTCCAGAGATCATTATGGCTTCACCTGTCAGGTCCATTTTTATATGGACAATTTGTTAAAATGCAGATTATTTGCCTGATAGATGTAATGACCCAGCCCAGCCATATTGGTATTTCAGTAATAGACCTGGGCACAGAGTGGGGAGAGATACTACCTAACATTTTTGGAATACTGCTTAGTGTTTATCATTTGGTGTGTTTGCACCATATTTTGTTTCCTTTTGGAAAAGAAAAGTTTTATTCTTACAAATATCTGTGGAAAGTAAATTTTGGCTTTGCAACCAAGAATCTGTACCTGAAACAATGTCACCTGGCCATCCACCAATCTCGAATAATGAATCCTTGACTAAATACTCACTATGAAGAGCTCACATGTTCACAAAATATATACACTGGGCAATTGCAGATAATAACCAGATTCATACAAATCATAATCACCGATGAACAATTTGCAAACAGACAAAAGGGCTAAATTTGTTCTAAATTTGGACTAAATTGTTCCTTAAGAACTGAGCAAACTCTAGTGAATAATTTTAATTTAGGTATTAATTACTCCCGTGGAGCCTTTATAGACTTTTGTACAAACCCAGCACTTCTTTATCATGGAAACTTTTAAACAGGCCCTGTAGTTTAACCTCCACCCAGACTCCAGCCTGAATAACTCAGCTGGCTGATGAGAAACTCTGCAGGGATGTAGGAAACAGCAATTCTGAGGAACAGCCCAGGTTATGGAGTAGGGACAAAACACTCCAAGGCAGCTATTCTGTAATCTCCAAATCCTTTGTTCTTCCTCTCTGCAGAGACAGTGGGAGGACTGGAGGAGCCTTGTCGTGGCGAATTATTTATCACCCGTCAGGAGCTACGCAATATGGGGGATGCAGATTCCATGTACAAGTTTGTGGATTCCTACACACGTCAGGAGCTACCCATTATGGGGGATGCAGATTCCATGTACAAGTTTGTGGATTCCTGACCTCCCCGTGCAGAAGAATCACAGTATTTTCTCTCTGTCAGCCCTCTGCACCCAAGAAGCTGGAGTAAGATTAAGACTCCGGGCCTGCTCCCATGAAGTGCTGACCACCTCCTGTGAAGTGTTAAATGCTCTTGTTGACTTCAGTACACATTGATGGCTTTAGGCACCTCACAGGATCAGTCCCTTAGATTACTTAAAATGGATTACTTCTCTAACAGGCCACATGACACCAAATCTCATTAATATATACCACTAATCAGGACATCTTTCAAACATGTATGCATTTCACAACTGGGAGATGTGCAGCTAAATCCTGTAAACTGAGAAGAAATTATATCCTTTACTTTGCTTTAAAATAAACCAACAACTTCTGTATGCAGCACTTGTGATTAGATCATCACATGGCTCAGTTATTGAGGATCTCTTTTTAAAAAATAATTTCTGAGTTATATGAGATCAAACAAGTCTATATAGCTGCTAAACTTTTCCCATGTATTATTCTTTACAATAGCTAAATTCATTTTATTGAAATCCATAAGGTCTTCGCAAAGGTGCCAGTTTATTTTTTTAAAATTTAATTGCGGATTTAAGCAAAGGACTGTCATTGGGAAATGATGCCTTCAGCTACATCCTCAAGTAGTGTGATGAAAGTTGATTTCTGTATTTCCAATTTTAGCATGGAGCACAGTTTTATTGGTTAAATTATAAACATGATAAAAATAGTGTTCTGCAATGGAAAAATGGAGAGATTCTTTTTATAGTTGTGTACCTGCCACTGCTAGAAAAGTGTCTTTAAATGGAATCAGATGGCAGTAAAATAGTGAGGAGACTTTTAAAGGCAGAAACATGGGTACAGAAAACTGGGGTTTGGGAGCTCCTCCATCCCCCTCAAAATAGGGACTGCATTGATAAATAAAGGAAACTGACTTTGGAACAAAGCATTTATCACACTTTATTAAAAGTGGACAAATTTAGTCATGATGCAAAACTACTGATTAAAGAATCATTTTTTAAAACATGAATGAAGAGAACAACTAGCTAATCTGAAAATATCTTTGCCTTGGGTTTCAATTGAATTCTTCTGAAAGATCTGTAAGATGTAAGTAATCAGTTTAGTACTTGTGTACATGTAAAATCTTACATCAATTGAACTGTGATTGTCCCATTGTGAATTAAACCACGTTTGAATATGACGTAGGGCACTGAAACTATGCTCGCTTACAACATTGGTTGCCAGCCCCACCAAAAGCGTTATTATCAATTTCACCACTTTGGAAAACAGTTGATGTTTGGTTTGACTGACAAACACAGATATTTTTGAACTGACTTGAATGACTTCTATAAGCTGACAATTGGCTTCCAACAGATGAAGATGAATAATCTTTTGATCATGGCTGAAATCAGAACCATACAACCAAAGCATACTTGGAACCTGTGTTTCTATTAGATTTGGAGCGGTTATGAGAGTTTCAAGATTTTGAATACTTTTGTAGCCTTTCTGTACAAATCGTGATTTAATAGTGGACATTTTAAGATTATACCTACTTCAAAGAAATTCTTTTAAAATTCCTTTGCTGAATTTGTACAGCTAGGTTCTCCAGTCCCTATTTGCATTTCCTTGGCAATTTCTCTCTTCCTTGGAAGTTTAGGCATTCCAACGATCTCCAACTTTAAACTTTTTTGATGGATGTGCTCCCAGATAAAGTTATAGCTCTTACTTAAGACCATCCAATCAGATGAACTGAGTGTCATCTTTGTAACAGATTGGCCTTCTATTGCTGAAACATTTAACACTTGCCGAGTTTTGCATGGACTGTCTACCATGTTTCGGACTTTCTGACTTAATTCAATATCAGCGAGGAAGTTAAACTTTTCTGTGTGAGCTGTTATGAAACCAATTTGAAGTTTTGTTTCAGGATCTTTTGCTGCGTTCTTCACAACCTCCCAATCTGCACACAGTCCAAAGTAGTTTTCAGAAAGTGAAGCCAGGGCTTCTGCATAGTGCAATTTGTTGGAGAAAAGATACAGATGCCCGGTGATACACTTAACGCTTCATATTTAATGTCCTGAAATAGAGCATTTCATGCAAATCATGCTACAACAGTGAGTACATAACAAATAATAATACTTGGCTCTTGTATAGTTTCTCACCGGTTTCACTCTGGTTGCTACAATTGATACTAATTGCATACAACTTTCTAGAAATCTTAAGATTGTAAGATTTCCAGTTTCTGATTCTGAATAACTGAACTTGTGAATTTGTTTTGACTCTTTTTCAGCCACTTTGAAACATCAGGATCAAACAAAGCAGTTGAAAAAAGCAGCTAAAAAAAGTTGCAGTCTACCCACTTAAAAGTGCAGTATTAGTTTGTTCAGTATGATGGCCTTGCAGTGTGCGTCCTTGTATAAGACAACACTTAGTATTTTCATTCTGCTTTCCTATTTTAATCTTTCCTCTAGGGTTCTGAATACATGTATTAACATTCTTTGTGGCCTTTTTAAGAATATCAATTGCTTCAGGATAGATATTTTCCTGTCATATTTGTCTCATGCCTTTTTCCAATTAGAGAATCTGGACTGTGTGAAAGTTTCATCTGTGTACTTAGTTAAAAGTAGTTTGCATTTAAAAGCTGTACACTAGTGGAAACAGAGTATGCTGTCACTAGTTTAATAATAATGGAGCCACTGAAAATCATCAACCAGGATGAACAGAAAGAATGGTCTTGTTTTCCAAAGTTATGCACAGAGAAAGATTTACATTGTGGTTGATGAAGTCTCTCAGAAATGCTAACAGTATCAGGCAATTGACTTTTGGTTCCTGTTCTATATGATGGTAGAAACAGGTGAATGCTACAACCAGCAGAAGTTGATCCACCTGTTATTAGTAGCTTAGCTTCTTTCTTTTATTTCAGCAATGTTTTAAGTGATTTCATTTTAGCACCTTGAAAATATACACTTTGTTTTTGTTTTTTATTCAGTCACTACGAACTTAAAAAGAATGGCATAGATTGCTGAATTAAAAAAACACACATTAGCCTCTGGCAAATGGGAGCATTTAGCTGGCCTCTTGGTTTTATATAGTCAGTGTGTTCTTTGTAGAACAGTCTAGGTGACAGAATGAAGAAACGGCCTACATCTGGATCTATTGATTACACTGAAAAACATCTGCTTTTATATTTTGCTTTGTAACCTTCTTGGTTCCTCTCTTAGCCACAGACTCACAAGGAAAAGACTATAAATTAGATGGCAGTTGGAGGCCATTTATTTCCTATGCATAATAGGATTGGGGTCAGAGGCTGCTAAAGGACAGCCAAAGAATCAAAGCATGGCTCCACCATGATGTTTGGCCTCCCACATCCCTTTATTAAAAGAGCACTTGAAAGTCATGTGGGGTTGGGAGTGGGAGGAGGGAAAGAGCCAATCAAGATGCTCTGGGAATCAGCCCCAGAGGAGTGGCAGCTGGCTGAACCTATCCCTGGTTTCCCTAGAGAGGGGATCAAAGCACCTCCTGCAAAGAAAGAGCAGGAAGATCAAAAGCCTCTGTGGAAGGATGGTGTGACAGGCTGGCTGGCGCATTAAGGCAAGTCAGGCTCAGCCTTTTTGAGACCTAGCAGTTAGCCCCCAGCTGATGGTGATATGATGATTTAATGATAATTAGCAACATCAGCTGTGAAAGGGTTAGGAAAAGACTATACAAACAGAATGGAGAACTCAGTTTGGGGGAGAGACTGCAGAGAAGGCAGAACTCTCCTGTGGGTAGGAAAACCCAAAGGGAGCAGGGTCTGGCTCCTGGGGGTGGGAACCCAGAGACAGGACTTAGGCAGGAAGTCAGGTAGGAGGGCCTACAGAGAGCAGCACAGGCTCCTGTGGGGGAAGCCCTGAACTAGGTTGAAGACTTATAAGTTCAGCAAAGAATGGAGAAGTCAGAGGCCTGAGAACCAAAGAGAGGCTGTATTGAGCACAGGCTATGGGAAGCAGCACAAGGTGAGCTTGGGTTTTCTTACCAATCCCTAAGCCCAAATGCAGGAGCAGATAAGGCTCTGGGGAAGGAGACCCTGATGGAGAGCCAGTAAGGATACTTCAGCAAGCAACAGAGGAGTAACTCTGCAGGAGCAAGTTAGGCTTTTGTGAGGGAGGGCCAGTAAGAACTCTTCAGTGGAACCTGAGATGGGCGGAAGAATTATTGCTTGGACATTTAGCTTGGACGTTCAATTGGACCTTTTGTTACCCCAAAGGGGGACTGAACTTTATGTGACATGGCCAGATGACTGAACCATGGAAGACCCATTGAGAGGCAGAGGGCCAGTAGGAGGAACCAGAGAAAACCCTTTGCAGCATCGTACCCTGACACAAGGGTGCGAAAGGGGGTGAGTGCACTACCTTGGAGAGGGAAACTGCTCGCCTGGCTGCAGAAATATTGGGAGAAGTACAGGCAGGTAACCCTCACTCAGGCATACAGAATATTCCTTTTCACAAGAATAAGAGCCCATTCTTGCTGAGACATTTCCCAGTCAGGGAAGGAGCCAGAGCCTGCTAAGGAGAGACCTTCAACCCGCCCTGGCAACCAAGAGTCAGCTGATACTCCAGGGAAAGAGAAAGTCTCAGCTGCTTGAAATCTATCAGAGAACTGTACTCCTGGGCTGTAGAGAACAAACTGAGTTGGCAGAGGATTGTCCCTGCAATAATAATTAGATGGTGTGAAAAACAATATTCAACCACTGTTGTTATATTTATTTTTTGTAACTTGAGTCCCCAACATAAAAAAGTTTTCTATTCCCTTGACAAATGAGAACAAGTAAATGGGTACCTAATTCCCATTGACTTTCATTAGGATTTGGAAGCCTAATACGCTTCCCATGACCCAGTGAAGTTACCTACCAGGAAGCATCCTAATGTTTCTCAAGAGTAATTAAAATCGACATGGTTTCCTAAGGACTTAAATTCCAAAGGTGGCATCAATTTAAACAAAACACACTAAAAAGGTAGAAATGAGAGAAATGGCACAAACCTTCCTCACAAATTTCTCCTTTGTATCCTGGGACACAAATACATACTCCCATGATGCAAGTACCATGGCCAAAGCAGGTTGGATCAATACATTGTTCTTCCGGAACATCACACTCTGGGCCTTTCCATCCATTGCGACATACACAGTGACCTTTCTCATATTCTCCATTTCCATTGCACAGTATTGGGCATGAGTCTGAAGAAGGCAAATAATTAGATTTCCGAGCTATATTTAAATTCTTAAGGGTATTAACATTTATTGCATTTATCATTCTTTAATTATAGTATTGCATTTACTGGCAATGTGATTTTAGTTCTTGCAAAAGGGGCCAGACTGAAAGCTTTGGAATATGAATTATTTTTATCAACAAACATGTTCCGCTACAGTGCCAGCTTCTCCATTCTGCTCCATTCATGTACCTTAACTGACCTAGAACGGGCAGCTCTGCAGATAAAGAAGATGGTACCATAATTCAGTCTCTCTGCCCACTTTTTGATCTCTTTAGTGAGACTTCTCACAATGAGGCTTCTTAGTGCTAACTGTAGGGATGTTTTTTGTGATGTTAATACCTGTTAACTGTGAACTAAGATACCACCCACTTATTTTCTTTATGCCACTGAACAACTTTAAGATTATTGAAGTTTTAGTCATTACTGATTTATATGTAAACCAGAAACCTGGAGGTGAAAAGTTCTACAACCAATCTCTGAGCCAAAGTATAATGTTGAGGTAAAATTGATCTTAAATTTGAGAGAAGAGTAGAATAGATTTGAGAACCTCCATACACACAGATATTCAGAAGACTGTACCCACCAATTATTACAGCCATTTATGTGAAATACCAGTGCATCTTGAGTTCACTCTTGGTCTTTATAGTGAATCGGGATTATTTCCTTCTTCATCTCCCTTAAAATATCAGGGAAGTGATATTTTTGATTTTGGGAAAAAAATACTTCCCTCTTTTTAATTTCTGGCGTTCCCCATCCTCAGGCTTAGGGCATAGAACAGGCAGTTTTACTTCTATTGCTTTTTCTAACAAGACATGTTTGTTAGTAATTTTTTAAAAAAATCCTAAACTAAATACTAAATACACTTCTTTTTGGATTTTAAAATTACAGAATGGCCAGAGGGAGAAGTAGGAGAAACTGTGGATTGCTCAGAGGATACAGAAACTGTGAGTTGCTGGTTCAAATCCACGTTAGTAGTAACTAAAAGTTATTAGTATCTGATAGCTGTTTTGTGGCCTATGTGAATGGATTTTTGATAGTTTTATTCCAATTTGCAGAGGACAGATGGCCATATGACAAAACTGACTACATCTGGCCTTAATTAGCACCCCCTTGGCCAAAGATTGAATGGGCAGGAGCTACCCTAAGCATCACCTGAAGGGGCCCTCCAGCTGAGGGTTAAAGGCACATTAGCAAGTCTTTAGTCTCTGGACCATCAGTCTGACATTCTTCACAAGATTCATATTAAAAATCATGCTCATCATCTTGTATTTTAACTCAGTTAATAGAAAAATTACCTCTTGCACAGTCAGGCCCGAGGAATCCTGGGAAACAGTGGCAGTGACCTGAGATACACTCTCCATTCCCATTGCAATTAGTGGAACAGTCATCCATGATTTCTATTTATAAAGAAAATTGTAAGCAATAAAAGGAATGAACTGGCTTCTGAAATGAGTGTCACCTACAGCACAACCATTTGCAATACATTTCTCAAGAACCAAAGAAGGTGCTTAGATAAACTGTTCATTTTCATTTGTAGGCAGCATCAAGTAAAGTTTTTTGTTCAAGCAACTTACAAATATTAGATTTGTCTTGACAGCTTAGATGTAACAAGTAATATTTAATTTGTAATATGCTACAGTGGAAAGCTTTTAAAGTAAGTGTTTGTGTTAAATTCACCACCATTAAAAGCCTTAGAAGAACTTAACTCATTTTTGAGAAATTCTCAGTTTTCTTTAAATACATTATTTTTTTTGTTCCATTAATTTAAGTCTGTTTACAGAAGAAAAGCATTGGGCAGTTCATTTAAGACTATAGTTAACTTTTTTTTGGAGAGAAGGGTTCCCACTTTTATAAAAAGGGATGAATAAAGTGTAGTTTAATGTAGCTTAGTAATCTGATTGACAAGATTAAGTTCACTTCAGTGATGCGAGTAAGTTCACTTCAGTAAATCAGTGCTGAGGTTCAGGTCTCCAGAAATAAATCTCTTTAAATCTTATGCTAAACTTGGAGATCATTCCAACTTCCAGCTCTGGAGAAGAAACCATTATAGATTACAGGTCCTTAAACCCGCATCTATACAATGGTTAATCGTTGTTTAGCTACATTCATATTTCCCATAGTCTTTCAATGTGTACAGTAGTTTAGATCAATACAATAGCTATCTATCAAGACCATGCAGCCACACAAATGTAAGGCTTCAGTTATGTTAGCTCTCACAAAACAAGCAGGGTGAAACCAGGTCAGTCCTTGAATGCAAGACCCATACAAAACATACAGATGTTGCAGAGAGTGCCAGGCGGCCCCAAAACTGGCGTAATTTGAGTTCAGGAGCAGAGCCTAGCAGAAAGGCTATTGGGTAGTGCTAGACAGTAGTAGTAGGAGAGGAAAGAAGCCTTTGACTTCACCATAAGAAGGACTTCTGAAGATGGGGAGTAGGACCTGGGACATCCTTTTGCATGAAAAAGTTCTTCTGTGAGAAGTAGTGTATCTGCTCACCATCGCTGGGACAGGAAGGAGAATCATGCCTCACCAATCTATTAGAATTCTATGAGGGTGTCAACAAACGTGGACAAGGGTGATCCAGCTGCTGTGGTGTTCTTGAACTTTTGGAAAGGCTTTGACAAGGTCCCTTACCAAAGACTCTTAAGCATAATAGCCAGTCATGGGATAAGAGGAAAGGTCCTGTCATGGATCAGTAACCGTCTACAAGATATGAAACAAAGTGCAAGAATAAATGGACAGTTTTCACAGTGGAGAGAGGTAAATAGTGGGGTCCCCCAAAGATCTGTACTGGGACCAGTGCTGTTCAACATATTCATAAATGATCTGTGAAAAAGGGCAAACAGTGAGGTGGCAAAGTTTGCAGATGATACAAAATTACTCAGGATAGTTAAGTTCAAAGCTGACTGTGAAGCGTTACAAAGGGATTTCACAAAACTGAGTGACTGGGCAAGAAAATGGCAGATGAAATTCAATGTTGATAAATGCAAGGTAATGCACATTGGAAAACAATCTCAATTATACATAAAAAATGATAGGGTCTAAATTAGCTGTTACTACTCAAGAAAGAGATTGTAGAATCATTGTGAATAGTTCTCTGAAAACATCTGCTCAATGTGCAGCAGCAGTCAAAAAAGCTAACCAAATGTTAGCAACCATTAGGAAAGGGATAGATAATAAGATAGAAAGTCTCACAGTGCTACTATATAAATCTATGGTATACTCACACCTTGAATACTGTGTGCAGTTGTGGTTGCTCCATCTCAAAAAGGATATATTACAATTGGAAGTAGTAAAGAGAAGGGCAACAAAAATGATTAGGGGTATGGAATAAGTTCCATATAAGGAGAGATTAAAATGACTGGAACTCTTCAGCTTAGAAAAGAGACCACTAAGGGAGGGAATACAATAGAGGTCTATAAAATCATGAATAGTTGGAGAAAGTGAATAAAGAAGTATTATTTACCCTTTCACATAGCACAAGAACCAGGAGTCACCCAATGAAATTAATAGGCAGCAGGTTTAAAACAAACATGAAGTACTTCTTCACACAACGCAGTCAACCTGTGGAACTCATTGTCAGAGGATGTTGTGAAGGCGGTTTAAAAAAGAATTAGATAAGTTTGTGAAGGATAGGCCCATCAATAGCTATTAGCCAAGATGGTCAGTGACACAATGGCATGCTATGTGTGTCCCTAAACCTCTGACTGTCAGAAGCCAGGACTGGATGAAAGCAGATGGATCACTTGATAAATTGCCCTGTTGTACTCATTTCCTCCGAAACATCTGGTACCGGCCACTGTTGGAAGACAGGACACTAATCTAGATGGGCCAATGGTATGACTCAGTATGGACATTCTTATGTTCTTAGATGTTCTCATTAGACTTTGGAAATCCCTAAGTGCCATGGGTAAAGCCTATGATATTTCAGTGTGGAGGCAAACTTTATCTTTAGCCTTCTTTGGAATGGAAAAATGCAAAGGAAACTCTTCCAATGCTAAATCACAGGCTAACACACACGAGGGATTAAATAATAATGTCTCTTTTGCTTGTAAGAGGCTCACTTTCCACTCTAAACACAGCAAATTTTGTCTTCTTTCAGACTAAATTCACCATTACAATTCCTTATTGCCTTTCTGATTACTTTGAGTGAAGTCCTTGATAATCTTTGTGTTTGAATGGCACTCTCCGCTGGCCCATACATCAAGGTCTTTAGCATCAAGTAAAAATAGAACCTAATTGTTAGAGAGCAGATGGCATGTCCATTACTGGTAAAGACATCTTGCTAAACATATGGTTGAACAAGTTAACTAAAGGGCAAATTGGTTAAAGTCTTATAGCAAACCAAGACTGCTGGAAATACTAAAGTACTGTACCGTAAATTAAACTTTGAGTAACAAACCCTATTTGTGAGAACTGCTCACCAACAATAGCTAAAGTTAGTAAAACAATCTCCCCTCTTTAATTAATTAAAAAAGATTAACTGCAGGTAGATTTGCCAAAAGGACAACACCGAGTATCTTCAGATAGTTGCCTACTACAGGTAGATATTTGTGTACCGAAGAGTGGCACTGTATGGTTGACAAAAAAAGGTGCAAAAACTGTTTTATATTTTTCTTGTACTTTTTGAACCTTTTTAATTAGCTGAATAACAACAGTACATAGTATCACTAACAGAAAGTGGTTCAGTTTTTTAAACTATTAAAATACTATGCTTTCTCTTTACTCTCCATTATTTATAATAACCCCTCAAAATTAGCACTCTTTTTTCTATTGCTTTTTTCCAATTAGCAAACACTTCCTGCAGCCCACCTCCCTGCCTTCCTATGTTTTCAATGGAACCAAGCCAAATGGCTTCCTCTGGTTCTTTGTTATGTACGCACCCCATCCTTATCAATAATGTCAGCACATTGCTGGGCATAGTTTCCTAATTAACTCTTGCCTACTAGAGAAGGAGAAGAACATCATACAACACTTTTTTTTTTAAGAGAGTGTGGGTGCCACATACACAGGGAGCACAGACATTTTCCCTGTAATTTCTTGCAATAGATTAAAACCCCCAGAAAATACATAGACATTCAACACTAGCATATAATGATTTTAAGGTATACCAAAGGTTAAGGCTTAATTAAATCATAATGTCCATTTTTAATGCGAGGCATGATTCTCCTCTTACCCTGGTGTAAATGAGAAGTAAATACACTGAAATCAATGTAATCAAAACAAAGTAAGATCTGTTTAAATCAGATTGGAAATCAGGCTCAATAATTCCTTTTCAAAGGCAGCTTTTTAACATAACAACCAGAAAAGGAATGGCAGGGTAACTGTTCTTACCAATTGCTGTTGTTAATAAAAATACTTGCTCCATTTTCTTTCCGTCATTGTAAAATGCCATGTGCCAAGCTCCTTGATCCATATATTCAATGAAACCTGTCTCTTGCAGGGTTGTTAAGATCAGGTTCCTAGGAGCATGCTGAGACTCCTCTGAGTTCCTTGGTTCCTGTTTAATTAACTGTTTTCCATCCATCAGTTTTACAAAATCAAACTGAAATAATAATGGCAAAAATTATCCAACTAGAGAATTTTTATAGTGTTTTAAACCAGACAAATCTACGTGAATGTCTCAGTCAGATAGGGTTACCCTCAAAGGGACTGCTTGATTAAGTGTTCACTAATGTGAGTAGGGGTTGCACAACTCTGTTAAGCTTCCAATATTCATTCTAAATAGGTGTTATTACAGATAAATCCTGATCTCTGTTATATCAGTGTAAATCCAGACTCTCTCAATTGAACCCAATAAATTAACTCCAGAATTACACCTGTGTTATGGGGGTAGATCTAACATTTTCAAACTTTATTGCATAAGTTAGGCACCTGTATGATTTAGGAGCCAAAATATGGATTTTGAAGCCTAACTTTTGGCACCCAAGTGTGAAAATAATTGGTCTTTAAAAATACTAAATATTTAGATGTCTCTATATTTCTCTTTCTTTGTGGTCAGTTTAGTTAATACACATGAAATCTATTTCTTGCTATAGAAAAATTGGTAACATTTATTGGAGTAGCCATTGACAGCTTTAGGACCAGATCCAGTTGACTTTAATGGGCGCTGATCAGGCCTTCAGTACATCTGAAAACTCCCGTTTAATGGAAATATAAAATAGTTTAAATATTTGTAGGTATTCAGGGGCCCGATTTTCCATCACAACTCCAGTTAAAGACAATCAGAGCTGTGGGTGTTCAGCACCTCTGAGATCAAATCCCTTAATTATCTACTAACAACATTTAATTTAAAGAAATGCTAGCATTAAATATATTTGGGCATAAAATACATGTATTTGAAATATGTCCCATAAACTGTAGATGAGATATGATTTAATTATACTTCAGAAATGTTAACTTAATATTCCAAATATATTAAGACTACACAATATTTCAGTATGAACGGTGATGAATCAGGTTCTTCCGGCATGGCTAGGTTTCCTCTTGCAAAGTCCTAGCTAACAGTGAACATTTAGAAGTAACGTTATTATTAGAAGTTAGAATACCTTTTTGGCTTATCTCTTTTACGCTAACCACATGAGCCGTTTGCATTGTTGGATGTGCATAAGGAAGTTAACTAAATACTAGGAGCTCAACTTTGAAGCTATAGGATTTTAGCTATAAGATTGAAGCTATATAGATTTTACTTAACATATAGGCACAGCATCATACAACCCCAGTGGTGGATCAAGGAGGTGTTTTACAGCATGTCCTTCTCTCTGCTGGTTGGTGCAGAGGGAGAACAGGATTATGTCTTGTCCCTTCCCCACTCACTTTAGGGTGATAAGCACTGCTAACACCCCTTCATTGTCCTTTTGCTTAGAAGAGCCCAGAATCTGTAAGTATGGCTGAAGAGGGGAAGGATGGGGAAAATATTTACATCTCTCTCTCCCTCCTTTATAAGAGCGTTGTGAATATTAATGCCGATATAGCTCTTTGAAAGTGTAAAGCACAACAGAATTGCTGGTATTATTATTAATTACCTGAGTATGAGTGGGAGGAATGTTTCTTCTACCATATATTCCCAGCAGAGAGTCCTTTGCAAGTGAAATATTAAACTTCAGGTACATCGGGTGATGGATAGTAATCTGAAAACGCCAGAATAAACCTGGTGGGATGGTCTGCATAACTTGTGCTCCAATGTCAACTTCTCCTGTGTCTATGGCCCGTCCTTTCTGAAACACTGATTTTCCAGAAACAAAGAAAACAATCACTTGTCATATTCACAAAGTGTGAAAATAATAGGCTAGGTAGGTAATAATAGGTAATTAGTAAGTATGTATTAATATGTTGGAAATTAGCTAATTATTATTCAGTTAATCCACAAATGAATTAATTTGCAAGCAAGATTTACAGCTACACACTCTAGAGCGCTTTTCTCCAGGAAACTTCAGTAGTTTTTAATGATTGCAGAGGAGTCTCTATGTAACTGGGAAAAATGAAAGTCTTTGCATACAGAAATTAGGCCACACAAACAAACTGAGTTTGCCTTTCAACTGAGTTTGCACTGACAGAATACACTTGGGGTATCTCCTTCTGCCAATTATTCCAGACCACAGCCTGGTAGGTACAATATAAGGTATACAAATGGACAGTATTGAAGACAGTGAATAGACTATCAGGATTGGTCAGTGAAAGCTGAAGTATAAATCAGGATTTCTCCTAATCACTATTCCTAACAAATTTACTATGATATTGCTAATCCAGTCTCAAAAATAAAGAAGAACACTGTTGTTGCTAAAGGTAATGGTTTGTAGTTGATGTATACAACACTGGAGGGCATGAGGATAGAGACAGGCATTATATCTAATGCGATATTTGGCATCTTGTCATTATGCAGGCAATACATTTTCAGACATCATAGTACATAACCTCTTGAATTGGTGAGCTGAAATATTAGGGGAGGAACAAAAGAGGCAATTTCAAACCGAGTATGAATTGACATGCTTTGTTGGCTTGTATCATTCCTTTATGTTCTTTTCAGCTTGCCAACAGTTAGCATCCTGACAGGTTGCAAACCATGGACCCAATCCTACAACCATCAAAGTGAATTGCAAAAATTGCAAAACTCTCACATACCTCAGCAGAAGCAGGAGAGGGTCCTATGTTATTAGGAGGATTTAACAGCATGAGATTGAACTCAGTAGCCCATTCCTTTTCTGTATCACCTCACCCAATAAAGCATCAACATGAGGGAAAAGGATGAACAACTAGAATGAAATAGGAATTTTACCCTCTATAATGCATATGGAATACTGTAAATGGCTTCCTAAAAAAAAAAAAAACGGGACTAGTAAAACTGCGGCCAGCTATTTCCAGAATATATTAATAGTATAAGGATCGTTGGTGAGATCCTACATGGACTTTGACGAGTGTAGGCGGTACACAACATTCTGAATGAAGAGAGCCATAATTTGCTAGGCAGGGGAAATTCTCAGAGTGCTGGATCTACTGACTTTAGGGCTGCTTTGAGTCACCAGAATGGGAAGTAGGATCTATTTGTGTAAGGAATGAATAACACATGTATCCTCCCCAAACGTAGAACACCTATTCTTAGGGTACAGAATGAGTTCTCTAAGGGCATGTCTACACTACGGGATTAATCCAAATTTATATAATTCGAATTTTGGAAACAGATTGTATAAAGTCGAATGTATGCGGCCACACTAAGCACATCAATTCGGTGGTGTGCGTCCATGTACCGGGGCTAGCGTCGATTTCCGGAGCGTTGCACTGTGGTAGCTATCCCATAGCAATCCCATAGTTCCCGCAGTCTCCTCCGCCCACTGGAATTCTGGGTTGAGATCCCAATGCCTGATGGGGCCAAAAACATTGTCGCGGGTGGTTCTGGGTATATCCTCCCCCCTCTCCAGGGAAGCAACGGCAGACAACCGTTTCGCGCCTTTTTCCTGGGTGAATAGTGCAGACATACCACGGCAAGCATGGAGCCCGCTCAGCTCAAGACAGCAGTCATGAACATTGTAAACACCTCGCGCGTTATCATGCAGTTTATGCTGATCCAGCACCTGCAAAACCAGGCAGCGAGGAGTAGGCTACTGCAGCGCGGCAGCGAGAGTGATGAGGACATGGACATGGAATTCTATCAAACCGCGGAACCCAGTGCTTTGGAGATCATGCTGTTAATGGGGCAGGTTATAGCCGTGGAACACCGATTCTGGGCCCGGGAAACAAGCACAGACTGGTGGGACCGCATAGTGTTGCGGGTGTGGGACGATTCCCAGTGGCTGCGAAACTTTCGCATGCGTAAGGGCACTTTCATGGAACTTTGTGACTTGCTTTCCCCTGCCCTGAAGCGCCAGAATACCAAGATGAGAGCAGCCCTCACAGTTGAGAAGCGAGTGGCGATAGCCCTGTGGAAGCTTGCAACGCCAGACAGCTACCGGTCAGCCAGGAATCTATTTGGAGTGGGCAAATCTACTGCGGGGGTGGCTGTGATGTAAGTAGCCAAAGCAATCACTGAGCTGCTGCTACGAAAGGTAGTGACTCTGGGAAATGTGCAGGTCACAGTGGATGGCTTTGCTGCAATGGGATTCCCTAACTGTGGTGGGGTGACAGATGGAACCCATATCCCTATCTTGGTACCGGAGCACCAGGGTACCCAGTACATAAACCGAAAGGGGTACTTTTCAATGGTGCTGCAAGCACTTGTGGATCACAAGGGATGTTTCACCAACATCAACGTGGGCTGGCCGGGAAGGGTTCATGATGCTCGCATCTTCAGGAACACTACTCTGTTTAAAGCAACAGAGGGTCCTGTGGCACCTTTGAGACTAACAGAAGTATTGGGAGCATAAGCTTTCGTGGGTAAGAACCTCACTTCTTCAGATGCAGAT